TCAACCAATAGGAAAGATTAATCCAACCCAGGTTGGTGCAAACCCGATCGGGCCGAAAACGCTATGAGTCTGCTGAACGCGACCAATGCACCTATTCCTAATTCCTTATTCCTTCTATTGTGCGCAGGGCCTAACAACACTGGCGCTCCGCCGGCCGGACTCTTGCTATTATTTGAGTTGGATAAAGGGAGCTAGAAAGTTCTATCGTTCCGAGAGTCAGTTCTATTAGAGCTAGCTAAAAACGTGGTTGTACACTTTTTATACGTGTTCAGTTTCCTCCATTTTCTCTTTGGTTCTCAATGTAGACGCAAACTTAGTTTCTTTAAAAAAAAAAAGAATAAAGAGATCGGCTGAAATTTTACACCATTTACATACAGCGCCATATTATACCGCAGGTTTTTTTTTTAGAAGAATCCGATAATGTAGTAAAGTAAAAATTCAGTAGTAAAGTGAAAATTTGTATCAACTGTTCCTTTTCACGAAGATAATCGTTGCTAGGTAAGACAAAACCTCATAAATACTAAAATACATCTTTTCTCTTTGTAATCGGGAGCTTTTGCTTGCTTTAATAAATTTGGAGAGCTTTTTGTCTTTTCTAACCTATTTTTCTAACCTTTCTTATTTCATACAGCATGCATAAGCGTTATTCAATCTAATTTCTGCTTGAGCCGTAAATTTCAACGCTTGTTGAGAACTACCAGAACTTGCAGAAAAATATAATGTAAGTTGCATTTTGCTCACAGTGTCGTTTTTTTTACAGAAGCCTTTATGCAAAAAGCCATACATATCATTTCTTAAATGATCATCATCGTTGCTTTGCGTATCATTCCGCCTACGAAGTAATTTATTATTGAACAATATATTTTTCTTTTAACCTTTTATAATTTTTTTCGACTTAATACATTTTCTTTAACACGTGCTTCTATTTTTATTGTACTTTATGTGAGGTTAGGTTATTTTTTTGTTTTTACTCTCAATTGTTAATTGGGTTGTTATTCGCGAATGTTAAATGAATATTTATATTTTGAAGTTGTACAAACTTCTTCTTAATCATATTTTTTACATAAAAAATAAGACTGCTTTCAGTAAACATTTTCTTAACTCACAATAGAATATAATATCCATCGCTGACTCCTAACGCCCATTTATATTTTGACGTTATTTTTTTACAATAGGAAGTCTATTCTTTTTTACCTAAACTTCTTGCAGGTCACCTTTCCTTTTCTTCCCTCTTGAAAAGAAAAATAAGAAAGACAGATCCTGCAAGAAGTTCAGATAAAAAGTGAAAAGTTTGGAATACTTTTGATGCTAAAGGAACATGTATTTTTTTATTATATTCTATGTGCATTTATATGTATATATTTTATTTTAAATAGATATATTATTCCAATATCCAACTAAGCTTCTTTTTATTTGTTTGTTTTATTATTAGTTTTATTTTTTTAAAAAAGTTTTGAAGTTTTAAACAAAGAAAAATAAGAATGTAAAACATAATATTATTCAAAATTATTATAATTTAATAATTATAAAAAGTCGAAACCATCAGGACCCATGTGCTCCAATTATAGATTAATAATAGAATTAACCAGCAATTAAAATGACATTAAAGTAACATTAATAATTAATTAGTAGTAAAATATATAGAATCTGATTTGAAATTCACAAAATTTTAAACATATAGGAAAAGTTGAATTGATAATATATATACAGATTTCAGGATAGAATATACACTTATAGTTTCCTGTGATATTTTTTTCATATTCTTTTTCATATTCTTTTTTCATATTCTGACATGAACTCATTTAAAGTCAGCTTAAAAGCATACCACGTAGAGGTTGTTCTTTGGATTTATTCTTTTTAGTTCTTTTTTTGCTATTATCTTTCCTCTTTTTCTTTCATTGGAAAGAAAAAGAGAAAAGATGAACTAAGCAAGAAATTCAGTTAAAAGGAAGACCTTTTATCACTGCATTGGACTATACTAAAATTTTTTATCTCGCTTTTGTCAAACTCATTTTATATACAAGTGTATACAAGTTTAGTTGTAAGAAGAACAGATCTTAGATTTGAGACGATTTTACACACAGGGTGTTTCATAAATGCATGTCAATACTTTACGAGGCATATCTCTAATATAATAAATACACTAAAATAAGTAAAAATGTCATATGAACGTATGTCCTATATATATCCTATATATCTTAATTTTCAAGTTATGGATGATTAAAGAAAATATTCGAAGTATTCGCTTCGTCGTCAACACACGTTACTATACAGCTTAGTACGTTTCGATGTTATCTAACGTTTTTAGAAACAATATCCATCAAATTGGAATAGAATTTTAGGCAGTTAGTATCTTATGCTCACAAGTTATTTTTCGGAAATACTATTTTAAAAGCAGCACAAATTTTGCTTGATAACAGGCTTGATAGTGCTTCTGGCTATCAAGCAAAACTTGTGATTTATGCACGATGATACTCCGCTTCATTTCCATTTTGAAACGAGAACATTCCTAAACAACACCTTCGTAAACCGATGGATAGAGCGAGGTGGACCCATTTTATAGCTGCCACGATCTCCTGATCTCAATCCATTAGATTTTCATTGGGGCCATTTAAAATCTATTGTATATTTAACGCCAGTAAACAATGTGGATGATCTACGAGAAAAGATAATGAATTTGAGACTATTCGGAGAATACCTATTATTTTTGAACGAGTACGGAATTTAATGTTAAGGCATGCAGTAGCGTATATTGATGCACGAGACGAATACTTTGAACATTTTCTTTAATCATCCATAATTTGAAAACTAAGGTGTGTAGGATATATGTTTATATGAGTTTTTACTTATTTTAGTGTAAAGATTTACTTCTTAAAATATTAACATACATTTATAAAACACCCTGTATAATGAATTATGAATACTGTTTTATATTTATAATATTGATTATTCGATACATGTGCTGTTAGTTACAAGCATAAAAATTAAAACATTTATTTTTGCTATGATATGTAGATAGATCATGAAATAGTTTGCTGTATATTACATGTAATTCTATAGAATAACGAGTTAATAACCTATATCTGTCTCATTTTTTATATTTTTATCATAATAATATACTGATATACTTTATGAATCTCTAAAATTTTTGTACCCTACACATTGGGTAAAATTTACCTGGACTTTTGAAGTGTGCATTATTCCGACAAGGTCTTGAAGAAGTAGGGTTGAGATCAGTTGGGTAAAAAGAAAGTTTTTCTAAATCGATGCGTTCTAAACGTTCTAGATCACAAAATAGACGGCCAGGTAAATTTTACTGAAATGTGGTAAATTTCGGTGACAAATATAGTGTGATAGTGTAGGCTCAATTATAATATTTTTTGTGTTTTAATTTCATAAGATAATAATACATTTTTTAAAACCAAACAGAGATGGGGAACCAAGATGAAGTTCGTACGCTTCTCCTGTCGTTACTAGTCTCCAGAAAAGGTGCGACATCTATAGTTGTTCTTGAGAGAGATTATTATGCCATGGAGAAGAAACGTATACCATATCGTAAATTTGGTTATAACAATTTACTACAATTTCTCCAAAGCATGCCGGAGCATTTCGTTATCGAAGAGGCTAACGACGGTCACTATGTACGCGGGATAGCGGATAAAAGTAAGCATGTGAGTTCATTGGTGTCACGTCAGAAAAATTCCTCCAACAACTTAAGAACCAGATATTCATCTCATCAAGCTACTACATATAATCGTCGCATTCAGCATACAAGGATTCCAGTTAGAATCCCAAATAGCACGTTAATTGATCTTGTTGATTATATCAAAACCCACCCAAATGGTATGAGTTTGCAGAATGCTTTGATATACGTACAGGCGAAAATGCAGTATGTTCCTATCTCTCATCAAGATTTGCAGGCGCAACTGCGTGAAGTAACGCATCATTTGCGCATGGATGGCAACATGATATATGCGATCCGGAATGATTTGCAAAGTAACATAGCCCAGCAGCCAAGTAATCGACAACCTTTAATGAAAGAGCCTTCAATGCAGTTACGTAACGAATCTGAGTTACCGGGCGATTCAATCTCGTCGACACGACAAATTGAATATCCTGCCGGAGAGGAGGACTTCGAATTAGATTGTTTTGATGATAAAGATGAAGATTATTTCGTGCCACCCTGTAGTAAAAACAATATTGATAACTGCCAGAGACGTCCAAAAACAAGCGAGATGCTTGCAACGAATCTTGCACAGCATGTGAAATCCGAACAAACTGACATGTTCAATTACAGCAAGAGTCTAGATGATAATGAAATCTTTGAAAGCTTGATGATGAATAGTAACTACACGGAAATGAGGGCTACTGAATGTCCGCAAGACAAATCCGAGATAGTAAGTGACAGAATAAAGGCTCGATTGGAGAAGTTACTGCAAAAATATCCGGATGGCATCTGGTGTGCTGAACTGCCCGACATATATCTTAAAGAATATAAGGTCCACCTGAATTATAGCAATCTGGGCTTCACAAGTGTGCGCGAATTTACGTCTTACCTACCGAAAATTTTCTACATGACGCAAGTTAACAAAACTGATGACTTTAAATTATATAGTGCGGATAAGAGGCCAGTAGTTCCAAAAGCGGAGTCTATTAATGAAACATCGCACGACCACCAATACAACGAACACAAAACAGTGCAAGCACGATATAATAATAATTCTGACGATGACCCAATTCCATCAGAAATTGTACGTAATAAATTATTTACTGATAACATGTATATTTGCTTAATGATATTTTAGAATTAGCTCTAGGATTGCTAGCAAAGTATATTTTCTCGTGAGTCATTCCATACATTATTTAATCATGATAATACTTTGACACAAAAGTACTTTTTTTTTCTCTTGGAAGTGCAACATTTTTTGAAAATTTTTTCGTACTGAACATTATGCCATTGATAAAATTGACGTAGCATGTCAAAATTTTGGTGTATTATTTCAAAATTTTTAAATTGATGTGAAATGTACGAAGAAAGACATTTTTAGCCATTTTCGATATTTTTTTTTAGCAAAAAATCTTGTTTTTAAATAAAATTCGCATAAAAAAATAAGTTGTAAGATGAAACTAAATCTGAACTAAAATTTATTTAAAAATAAATTCAAGAACTTTTAAATGAATTTTAGTTCATCATACAACTTATTTTCATCAAGTTATGACTGAATTTAGACCTTTTGTATAATTACACAGTTAAACAAAAAATCTATTTTTCTTTTTTTCAAAGTATCATAGTACCTACTCCGAAGATTTTTCAAGATGAACACAACGCTGTCGTCAGAATTTGCACAGCATATCATGATTTTTAGTAAATTGAGGTGGTTTTTTATCTAATTTATCCTAATATACTATGAGTGCGTTTCGAGTTGTACATGAAACGTATGAACTGCATTACTGTTGCGCAGTGCTTATAAATCGTTCCATTTTGTTAATGCGCATGAAGCGGTTTAGTTATTCGGAACGATTTCTTGCGTGGTCTGCTCATTAATTGCAAACTATAAAAATATTAAAAATAAAAATGTTGGTAAAACTTCCCCTTACACAGTCAGCCTCAAATGACCTTCAACTGACCTTGATTCCCAATGAGGTCATTGACCTTTTCCGTCGCTCGTTATTCATTAAAAAATTATGAACAGAACAATTTTTATGAATAGCACACAATTTTTAAACATAAGGTACATACGAGGGCAAATCAATAAATACCCGTGTTTCAAGCGGCGTTGCTGATGCAAGTTGGCATTACCATCGTGTACTACCATCTTTCAAATGACGCCATACAAAATTTCAGAGTGATTCATGTAATAATCTTGATTTGACAGCAATTCATAGTGAGCGTGTTTGATGTTTTCCGATACAATGGAAAAAGGTGATCCCGATTGATCACGGCTCGATTGGACACCACCAATCACAGCGATCGGTGCTTAGGAGCTTTGTAGTCTCAAGCGCTGTGAGTGGCTCGTGTCCAATTGAGCCGTGTCCAACTGGGTGCCACCCAAAAAGAGCAATATCGATCCGTGATTCGTTTCTTATTTTTGAATGGAAAAAAGTGCGAAGAAATAAAAACGAAGTTGGATGCCGTCTATGGGAACTCTTCACTATCTATAACAACCGTCAGATATTGATTCAACGAATTCAAACGTGGTCGTTCGTCTGTTTTTGATGAGGAGCGCCTAGGCAGACATGGTTACTGAGGAAATCGTTGAAAAAGTCCACGACATGATTCTTGTTAATCGCCGAACGAAAGTGCATGAAGTAGCAGAAGCCGTAGGCGTGTCGTACGGAACGGCATTCAATATTTTGCATAATAACTTGGGAATGAAAAAGCTGTCGGCCTGATGGGTGCCGCGATTGCTTACGGTGGACAATAAGCGGATGCGGTTATCAATTTCAAAGCAGTGTTTGGAGCTGTTCAAGCGCAATCCGAACGAGTTTTTGCGTCGAGTCGTAACCATTGATGAAACATGGATTCATTACTATACACCGGAGACCAAGCAATTGCGGAGATCAAACAGGCGGAGATCAAACAGAGGCCTATTTTTCAGAGTTTGACAAATCGTATTTTTCTAAGGGGTTAAAAAAATTGCAGAAGCATTGGGAAAAATGTATCCTCCTAAAAGGGGATTACGTTGAAAAATAAAAAAAATTTTTGTGAAAAGCTTGCGTCTTCATTACTAATACGGGTACTTATTGATTTGCCCTTGTATTTCAGCAGTATTTTTCCTTGACAGGGAGAAGTAATGAAAAATCATGCGCCTCCAAGCAGGGGGGAAGGTGGGGTGGGAGTCGCTTTGCGTGGAAATTCGTGTGCCCTTTGCAGGGGGCGAAGCGACTCCCACTCCACCCCCCTCCCTCGCTAAAAGAAAATATTGCTGAAATATGTACCTTATGTTTAAAAATTGTGTGCTATTTATAAAAATTGTTCTGCTCATAACTTTAATGAATAACGAGCAACGGAAAAGATTAGTGACCTTGACTTCCTTGAGGGTCAAAATCAAGGTCAATTGGAGGTCGCTTGGAGCTGACTGTGTAAAGGGTAAGTTTTATCAAAATGTTATATTTTGAATTGTATTATATTACTATACAATAATATATAATATAATATATATATTATATATTATATATTTCCGTTTTTTTTGCCTGTGAGTGTATAACAGTGTAACAATATAATATGATAGTATAATATAATATAATATATATATTATATGAGTGTGTATATTATATTATTTTATTTCATTTTTAATTATTAGTTAAAAGTATTTAACATAACAACGTAACATAACAACAAACTTTGAAGATTGACTTCCAAATTAAAAACTCGTAATTAATTAAGATGAAATAAACTAATTATAATATAAAATAAACAACTTTCAAGTTATTTGTTTCTTCTTAGCTATAATATTCGTTCTTTTTCTTCTTTATTTAGAGCTATTAGAAGGATTTCCACAATTCATTTAAGAGTCATAGTACTACGAATATTCGTTCCAAATTACATATGAAATGCATGAACGCATCAATTGCCTCAAGTCAAAATAGAAGCAATTAATGCACTGGAAAAAATGCTAAGGGTCGTAGAAGAAAGGCTGATTTATAATCTTAAAACAGTGTCTTATGACTTAAGTTTTATGTCTTTAGGGTAAATATATCGAATAGAGGCCCCCCTTCTAAGACCTTGACATATATTTTCAAGGTCATGACCCTGAGTAATCTCCGACAAATTTAGTCGTCGCTCGTTATTCGTTAAAAAGTTATTAACAGTCAAAGTTAGCAATTATTTCCCTGCTTTACAAGCAAGAAGAGTTAGACAACTTTAGACAGAGAGAGATATGATAGGTGGACGAATTCAAGGAATACAACTTTCCATGTAAAACGACTTTCACCTTACCTCCCCCCCTCCTCCTACTAAAGGGCTAACGATTTCCACGCGAAGCGACTTTCACCCTACCTCCCCCCTGCTTAGGAGTGCACAACTTCTATGCGAAACGACTCCCATCTCACTTCCCCCTTCTTAGGGACGCATGACTTCCACGCGAAGCGACTTCCACACCATCTCCCCTTCTGCTTAGAGGCGCACGACTTGGGCCGGAATCCATAGTCCGTTCTTAATCTCAAGACAATCTCATGCAATGTCTTAAGATGCTAATACGGCTCTCTGATTGGTTCATGACATCTCAAGCACTAGCTTAAAACCATCTCGAATCTTGAGCAATATCTATGGATTTTGCCCATACACATGAAGCGACTTTCGAAATCGTGACCCGGAATAATCTCCAACATGGGCAACGTGACTTCAAAAGTCGCTTCGTATAGAAGTCGTTTGCCCCTAAGCAGGGGGAAGGGGAGGTGGGGTGAAAGTCGCTTCGCGTGGAAATACGCCGTGGAAGTACGCCCCTAAAGTTGTAAAATATACTTCAAAGCAGAAAATTTATATTTTATATAGTAGAAAAGAGACATCATTTTTTTCAAACTTCTTTTGTTAATAACTTTTCAATGAAGGACGAATAACGGCTAAAACTTGGAGGTTATTCAGGGTCATGACATTGACAATATATGTCAAGATCAAGGTCATAGAAGGGATCTCCTATTCGGTATAATTACCCATAAGTCATAAGACAATCCTTGTGCGTTACTAAAAATATAAGACTGAAGTTATAAGACACTGTCTTAAGATTATGTGGCATTCTACAATAAGCAATTAGCTATAAATTAGAAGTTAGAAGCTGGAAATTGATCAATCACAGTCGTCAATTTTTAGCTTCTGATTTATGACTAAGAGCGACTGTTAGACCAGAATCAAACTACGCATTGAAGAATGAGATTGAAGATTGAAAGATTGAAGTTTGACCAATCAGAAAAGGAACCAAAATTTCTTTGTCTTCATTGGTGAAATTTCAATCATTAATCTTTAATCTCAATCTTCAATGCATAGTCTGATTCCTTACCAACACCGATTAACTTAATCGACGATTAATTCAATCAGTAATGTAGTCAATAGCAAGACTGTATTACCTTCTTAACTTTATCTTTTCGTGATATACTTCTATCTCTGCGTTCCTATACTTAATTGTGATAAAAGTAATGAAAATCTTCTATCTATAATAGTAATTCTGCTGATTAAGTTAATCGTCGATTAAGTTAATTGGCGTTGGTAACAGTCGCCCTAATAGCTTATTGTAGAAGGCCCTAAGAATTTAGCTTTCTGCTAAGGTCCTAAGAATTCAGTATGGATAGTACAATCACCGACGAGATACTATTAAAGACCGACATCCTTACGAGAGTTCGCGTCCTTGTGAATATGAAGTATTCAGTCCTTGTGAATATGAATCTTGTGATTAAGAGTTAAAAACTGATAATATTGTACTAATTTTATGATTTATTAGTTTAGTAGATGTATTTATGCATTTATAACACAATAATACTCTATTTTTCTTTAAAATTGAGATTTTAGTGTTATATATATATCATCAAAGTTTGATTATCAATAAAGATGATAATTGCAGAGAAAAAATTGTGATTTTTCTGCAATATATAGGATATTACAGCTTTACAAGTATGTATATTTACTTATGGGACATTTATGTAATAAAAAATCATGAATTTAATAATGCATGAGCCAAATATTTATGTTAATAATAGCAAATTTATATCAATTGTCGGTAATGTCAGCGTTCTCGAATTACCTCCGGACCCTTGGGGCCCTTTTTATATCGCCGAAAATTTGCCCAGGGTTGACGGTCTTTAATAATATCTCGTCGGTGGTACAATCTAGGAAATTCTCAGCACTACCCAAGCGCTTCCATGCGCGTATTGATTAAATCGGAACGACTTTCTATACAATCTACGCGCTACATGCATAACGCAGCACCCTATAATTCGTGAAAGGCTACACAAATTCTGACAATAGCATCGTGTTGAATGCGAAAAAATATTTAGAATATGTACTACAGTATTTCGAAGAAAAAAAAAGTGATTTGTTTGTTGAATTGTATAACTGTACAGAAAGTTTAAGCTTCAAATAACTATAATTTGATGAAAATAAGTCGTACGATCATGAATTAAAATTCATTTGAAAGCTCGTAAATTGTTTTAGATATTGTAGATTTTATTTAGAAACAAGCTTTTACTTTACCGTAAAAAATGTTGAAACTGATTAAAGTTTATTTAAATTCCTGATGTTATTCTATCAATGATAGAAATTAAGATCTATGAAATAATATAAGCTAAACATTAATTCTTTTTGTTCAAATTTTATTTCAAACAAAAATCTTGTCTATTGCTATATACTTAAGTACAAGGATAAATTCATGAATAACGTAATTTTTTTGACATAAAAATGTGTGTATATATCTATAATATTTTTTCTTTACATCTTCTATATATTGTGTTAATTTAGTTAAATATAATTATATATTCTTGTATAAAATATATTTATTATAATGATTGATACTTTTATTATAATGGATGCCAGAAGAACGTTTATTATTTGTGATACATGATAATTCAATGACTATGATGATCTGTATAATTTTACAGTCACCTGCCATTACCAAGAAGTTCGCTCCCAACGGTGTAATGAATTATGGCGATGATGTAGACAAAATACTAGTAACTGATTTAAAACACACCAAAAAATTCTTAGAGACATATGTTGTAGAAGTGTTTCATCCAAACTTTTTCTGGATACACCTCCGAGAAAACAAAAAACGGTTTAATAAAATGATGGATGAACTACAGTAAGTACATAAGCAGTTGACCAATCTTAATACATTTTTTTGTCAATGCTGGTATTAAAATTTAAATCGAAAATGTCTTATTTTCAGAAATTTCTATGTTCTTAACAAAGATTATTATACCATTGCAAAAGTCGCCTTGAAAAAGGACTTGAATTGTGCATGCGTTTTCGACGGTAACTGGCATCGAGCAATTATCAAGAGTGTAAAGCCAGATTTCAGAGTAACGGTTAGTACAATGATAAGTTTTCGACAATTTTCATTAATGTTAAGAAATTATATGTTTTGATATGTAATAATTTTATCTCCCAAAACAGGTATTTTTTTATGATTTCGGCACTTTGAAGGCATATGCAGCTGAAGATATATATTATTTGCATTCAAAGTTTTCTTGTTTGCCTGCCCAAGCAATACCTTGCGGTTTATATAATGTTAAACCAAATGTTGGTGATCGCTGGAAGAAGAGCGTATATAACCAATTCTATGACAAAGTCAGTGAGACCCTTTTAGCTGCAACTATAATTACTGTCGATCCTCCGGTGAGATTATTTTTTTATTTCTAAAATTGAAAATGTTTTAATTCCTAATTCTAAATTATATGTATTTTATAATTCATGTCTTTGTGTTTTTATTATTTTGATATCTTTATATATTATTTTGTTTATTTCAATTTTTTCAATTTTAATTTTTAATATTAAAAGATAAATTACATCTTATTTTTTAATTTCTAAAACATTAAATTATGTAACTTAATGTGTGTGTGTGTGTGTGTGTGTGTGTGTGTGTGTTATTATAAATTTATTATTAAATTAATTCTCTGATTATTTTGATAGAACAATTCCATGATGGTCATTTTGACTGATACAAGCGAAGAAGAGGATGTGTGTATAAACAATTGGTTAGTGAAAGAGAAACTAGCGCAATTTGGTAAAACGGTGCGTATGAATGACATAAAAAATTTTCTGATGTTCGATTTCGACTCTGCTCCGTCTATGAGGACATTTGTTATAAGACGCGAAGACAGTGTAAATAAACCGCGACACTGTAGAGATCAATCGATATTGCATGATGAAAGAACGCATGTGTTATCCAGTGTAAAAAGCGAAGATATTGAAAGGAAAATTGTCAAGTCCTCTCATAACCTTCCGGAATGTAAAAAAAAAGTCCTACAGTTATTCAATAAATCTCCGGATGCTAAGTCTTTGCATGTTAAATCTCCATCCGTTAAATCTACGCCTACTAAATCTCTGGATGCTAAATCTCCAAATACGTCGTTGGATGCTAATTCTTCAGATACTAAGTCACTGGATGCTAACTTACAGTCGAGTAATTCATCATATTCGCAAAATGGGAGATCGAAGACGCCTAAAGAATTTAAAGAAGTTATTTCAGTGTTTAAAAAATTAGAAAAATCAAAGCTCAATGGAATATCCAGTTCAAATTCAAACACTTCCATATCCGAGGCGAACACGAATAACGAAAATAACGTCGTAAGCATAAATCAAAGCTCAATGGAATATCCAGTTCAAATTCAAACACTTCCATATCCGAGGCGAACACGAGTAACGAAAATAACGTAAGCCAAGTCGATTTAAGCAAGAAAAAAGAATCGCGGTATAGCATTGAAGATGGTTTAATAAACTTCAGTTTACGAAATTCCGACGATGAAAATGATCAGAACGATTTTGGGACGTTTAGGAGTTTATATGGTGGACATGGCTTAATGGAACCTATCGATTGGTCAGTAATAAGGGAGGAGAATAATCTTACTCATAGAACTGTTACACCAATGAGAGAGTGTAAGAGCGATGTAGAAGATAAATCAGGATCGCATAATCAGAGAAATGAATTACAGAGAAATGAATTACAAAGAAATGAATTACAGAGAAATGAATTATCTGGAAAACAATATTTTTTAGACTTGACTTCCTTGGAAAAGGAAAATTTTTTACCTGAAGATAACATTGATTATGATGTTGCGTCTGATTTTTTAGACATGCTGAAAGATAATACAGTATCTAACCATACTGTTACAGTAATGTTTACACCAAACGTAAAACTTAAGACATTGCATAATAGTCGATCTGAAGATACGAATTCCAGCATAAATATTATTGAGCTCAATGACATGGCTTCTTCAAAGGAAATGGATCAGAAGGTAGACAGAAATGGCAAAGTATGCAATGGCAAAGTAAGAGCTGATCAGAAAATAAGGGATAGAGATTCCAATATAGTTTCAGAGTCAGTTTCCTCACATACATCTAATAATAAAGATAATATAGATAGAGAAATGTCTGAATGCAGCTCAAATAATTCCGTTCAGTCCAATACAAATAATAAAGCGTATCCTTTTAAGACGTTACTGGAGAAACTAAAGCGTGAGAAACAGATGGATTCGATGAACTCTAGTTTCATTAACACAAGCGAATCTTCCAGCAGCGAACAAATTCCATTGTCATCTTATAGTTACAATACATCCGATGATACTATTATCTCATCGCACGATGAACAAGTTAAGGCATCTAATGTGATGGACCTGAATACTTACACGATAGTTAAAGAGCCCGCATCTGAGAAGTTATCTAAGAAGTTGACAGTTGAATCACATAGTGATTCCGAAGAAACGAGAGATCTTTCATCCTTGGAAACAGATTCTATTGCTTCTTCTAACGTTGATGACACAAAGCAGCGTCGGTTGAATCAGTCTATGGAAAATGATTCTGTTGCTTCTTCTAATGCTGAAAATACAAAGCAACATCAGTTGAATCAGTCCTCCGATTTTATCACTCCATCCTGTAACATTAATAGTTCAAACCATCAATTGACTACAGTAAATCAAACATTGGAAGTTCCGAAACTAATGCAACAGATGTTAAAGATTGCACAAAATATAGAGAATTCTGAATTGGATTCTGACGATCTAAGCCAAGAAAGCCTCAAAGATGGCAAAAGTGACGAAAGTAAGGGCGATATATCGGATTACATATCTGAAACGAACGAATTAATGAATAATGGTGCGAATATGATCGAAAAAGCATTTCCTCTGTTGAACTACGACTGTGATGAAGCATTTGATGACAGTGAATGGGATGCAGGTGCAGACCCTAACTTTCTTTTTCGTCTCGCAGAAGTGTTTAAACGAGCAATGTAAATTACTGAAATTCTAAACGATAAAATTTTAAATTTTGCTATGAAAGAAAATTTTACGTAAAAATGAACTTTATTTGTTAAAAAAAAATGCGTTTGTATGATTTTGTGTCATATATAATAATTATAATCACATAATATTTAAGTTAAAATATACCATATGCTCGCGTTATATAACTACTTAAATGTTATAATTATTAACATAATATAAAATATAATTATTATAATTAGTGATTATTACAATTAATATTATTACACAATAGATTATTATCAACAGACGTTGTAATATTAAATTATATTATTTTTAATATAATTCTAATATATAATTTTTAATATATTATTAATAATTATATAATTGATGCAATTGAACTACAAGTAATATGTGTTTATCTCTGTAATCATTTTGCGATTATGTAATATATATATTAGGATATATTAGTTTGTGATTCTGGGAAAAATTAGAACCTTATGTGATGTTATGTGTATTTGTGATTGTGGTTGTTACTTAATACCACATTGTAATAAAGAAATTTGAATGTGCAAAAGTATGTGTGTGCAGTTATTATAGGCATGTATTGTAACGATCTCATAAAGTGATAATTTTTCCCGAATTCTAGATTGCTTAATCTAATCTCGGTTGTTACTTTGAGCTTATTAAAAAATTTATCGATATTCGAGCATTCACTTGTAAAAATTCAAACATTTGCTTTCTGAAATTTTAAATTTGATTGTTTACTTTCTAAAATTGAAAATTTTATCATAATTTTATCAAATGTATCACTTTATCTGATCTTTTCCCTTTTACTTTCGTCATTTAGGGTGATGCCGTTGACATGGCGAGCTTAATGAAGTATGTGGTAAACAATATGAACCAAAAACCGTCGTATTGCTTTGCGGAGGAGAGCCTGATGCCCGAGAACTGCTATAAAGCCACATCGACAGAGGAAAAATATGAAGTACCTTTAGTTTCATCCGGACCGACGCTTCCACATTACGATAGTCAATATCAACAACAGCCAGTGAGACCACCGCCAGGTTTTCAGCCTCTCGATGAACAACGCATTCCGTCTAATGCCTCGACAAGGAGTTTTCAAAGCAGTTATTCCTTTGCAAACCCATCAAACGCATCGAACACGAAGGCGTCGGTCTTTAGCGATGCGCAGGCGGCAACGAATCCGTTCCTAAATGATGAACAATTCATTCCTAATGATGTCGTCGAAGAGTTATACATAACAATCTGGAATGAGAATAAAAAATTGCATACTGGAGTGAATGAAATTCTCTGTGATATGCTAAAATATTTATCACTCTCATTGAAGGATCAGATTCAGTTAAATAAGATTTTGAAGATTGTTAAAAAGATTTTATTAGAACAAAAAGATGATCGTTCCACTGTCGTGAAAACTCCGACAGCATCTAATCTTACAACCAGAACGACATTGAACGATGCTGATTCGGCACAGAAAGTATCGTACAATTTAAACAATGAAATTGCCGCAAATCAGGAGCCTAATGTAAATATTTCCTCGATGTCTAATCCGTTTCGCATAAACGTCGATGATAGACTACAGAATAACACTACATTTCCTTACGGTTCAGACAGTTTCTCTTTTAAAATTGGCAACTTGAGCCAATCTGATGAACTCAATCCGCGTATGCAAATATCTCCTTCAATAGCAAGTCCCACACCTTCAATGTTCATTAATCATATAACCAGTACTTTCCTTCCAAAAGCCAATCAGGATAACGAAAACGTTCCCTTGACGCCGGTATCTCCTGCGGCGCCGACGAATACTAATTTCTTCAATAATTTCTCAGAAGTAAATAATATGAACACCCAGTTTCCCGCTATGTTCAAAGATACAAATCCTTTCAAATTTTCCATGACTGATGTTCCCGGAACGCAAGTACCAGAAACTCAGACTGAGCGAACGGTTAATAACTACGACACAGGTATCTCGTATCTCTCGACTAAAAATCTACAAAGCAATGTTTTAAAAACAGAAACTGCGAATATTCATGCGAAGAACAATGGCTTTATGTCTGTCGGCAACCTGGGACATGTCAATGAAAGTTACACTTCGAAAATCGTTTATGAATCCGGTCCTGTAATGTATAATACACAGAAGAAGCAAACAGACGTAAATATAAATACAAATGTAAGACAGAACGCATATAGTAGCGATTTTGATAATATCCAAAACGCTTAATTTCTTAAATTATAACAAAGCAATAAAAAACTTGTATTTCAGGTTTCTGCAAAGAATATTGCTTCTTTGCACACACAGCACAATAACAATATAATAAATAATAATACAAGAGATAATTCACAGAGTGACGAGAGGTATATTACGCGACCATTTGTGCAGAATAGGAATTTTAACCCTTTTCTATTTCGGAAAATTGGTATGATTTTATTAAATATTTAGCTGATTGAACTATATATCTTTCGATATTGTGTATGGAATTAACCACTAACATTTTTTTGTAGATTTAGTTAAAGGCGTAACATTTATATTTCATTTCGAACAGGACGGTTGGATATTGACAAATGAGTTTGTAGAAGTTTTTACAAATTTCAAGTTGTTCTCTCATTTGTTAACCAAGATAGAGATGTTGAATATCAAAATTACTTTCAAAGAAATCCTAAGATCTCAGTATCCATCACAATTTTCACAACTAGACAGGTAAATTTGAATATTTTAATACTTATAATTACCATCTTTAATCTTATTATAATGTGGGTTCCCAATATGGGTCGTATTTTTTATACTCCTTCACACATCATCTCACTTTCAACTTCAACATAATTTCTTGTTCTTAAAACCGAAGCATGCATGAGACGATAATCGGTATTAAAATCGAAATCCGCCGATTACGAGTTGAGAAGTTTCTCATAAAGACTTAAAAGACATTTATAATTCCCATGATTTCCCACGTAGTATTTACCAAATATTTACAATAAAATATTCCCATTTTGTTATATATATATTTTTTAAAAATGTATATAATTACATACAGGGTGGGAAAAAAGATTGATACCTCTGAATAACTCGAAAAATATAAGTTTTTTAGAAAAATGATTCAGACACAAAAATAATAGGGCTTAAAAGATCTATTTACTGATCTTATCAGTTTAACCTTGGATGGCATCGCCAAAGTAAAGTTAAGGTTATATTGATTTTTTTTTAATGGAACATCCTATTTTTTATTTCAGAATCTAATATAGCTAGTGTCAAGAACTTTTCAAAACACTGTAATAAAGTTATTTTTTATTAAGTACTTTTCGAGTTATAAGGCTCGAAAATTACAGTACCGCCGGTATTAGCATTACACAAAGTGTCCGGCCAACGGTTAAAACCTCTTGAATATTGTTCAGGATCATGTTCTGGATAATATTTGTCAAGATCAAGGCCAATAGAGGTTATGTCTCTTATTTTCATTTTTATGTAAAAATAAATGTTTAGTGCAAAAATGAAAATAAGAGGAATAATCTCCAATGGCTTTGATCTTGACAAATGTTATCCAGAACATGATCCCGAACAACATTCAAAAGATTTTAGCCGTTGGCCGGACACTTTGCGTAATGCTAATGCCGGCGGCACTGTAACTTTCAAGTTTTATAAACTCGAAAAGTATTTAATGAAAAATAACTTTATTGCAGTGTTTTGAAAAGCTCTTGACATCAGCTATTAGATTCTGGCATCAAAAATAGGGTGTTCCGTCCATTTAAAAAAATCGATGTAATCTTGATTTGGTCTTGGCGATGATACCCAAGATCAAGCTGACAAAATCGGTAAATAGATCTTTTTAAGCCCTACGACTTTTATCTGAAACATTTTTCTATAAAACTTATATTTTCCGAGTTATTCAGGGACACTGACATTTTTTCCCCACCTATATATATAATTTATACATCTTCATTGTATTTTGTCATGATTACACACGCGCGTGCGCGCGCGCACACACATTTTTAGAACAACACTTTTTAATGTAGAAATATACTTTTACCATTTTAGATATCCTCTAAACGTTCCTCGTGATTCTAAGGAACACATTCTCTCTATTCATTTGATCTCGTTGCAAACCGCGTTAGCATTATTGCACAAATTGAAGATAGTTTCGCGAGATCAAATAGACAATGCTTTTAAGAAGAATGAATTTTCGGATGATTCTGTTCTACGTACTTTGTGGGTGAATATCAAAAATGAATGTAAAATCTTGATCTATCTAAACCTTTTAATGGATTTAAAATAATAAAATCTGAATACACATTAACGATTTATATTTAACCCTCGATGATCACACTTCGTGAAAATTACGTAATGATTACACGGGGTCAACATGGTCAGCATGTTTAAATGGCTGCCACAGCTTTATTTTCATAAGTATAGGGTCAAAAGAAATTAGAGACATTCTTTGAACTTTAAAATATGTATTCGTATTGATTTTTTGCTTAATAATTTTAAAATAGTCAAAAAAATTTATGAATGAAAGTCTACGTGAAAAATTACTTTTTTCATTAAAAAAAATAACTTTTATTTTTTAATATTTTTGCGTAAAATTTTAGGGATAAAGTCTTCAGATGCTGCATTTTGATAAAAAAATTATTGCAATAGCGGGCGTTTCAAAAAAGGTATTTATTTTGAAGATTGATTGGGGTGATTTGGGGTGAGCAATGCGATACATCCACTTCGCTCGATTGTCGAAAACAAACTAACGCGTTTTACGCCATGCCAACCGCATGGTAATGTAGTTAGAGACTCAAACTACTGGTAGATAGAGCATCAGGCGTTATTTAAGCGTTATTTAAGGCGTAAATTAAAGTTGGTAAAAATTTAGTCCAAACTTTTGATGGGGTCACAGCAGTGATGCAAATTGCCGTTTGCAGCATGGTTACTAGCATGAAGCGAGCATAGACGGACACATAACGCATGCGCAAGTGTACATGGATATGAACTTATCGTAATATATGTATCTTCTTATGCCCTCTTCATGCTAGTAACCGTGCTGCAAGTGGCCCGAAATTCGCATCACTGGGTCACAGTGACCCTCAGTGATCAATTAGGGTTAATATAAACGATTTATATGCAATATGTAATATATTTTTCTAAATAAGAAATAATCCGAAAGGTTTCGTTATTGAATAGTACAAATCTTTATAAAAATATGAAATTTTCAATTAATTTAATGTTTTTGTTTTAGACTTTGATTCTCACTTACCGCGACCTGAAACAACGAATTGAAGTATATTCGAACGAATTAAGTTATATGTAAATGTTGTGATACATAAAATATATATATATATATATATATATACATATATATAAACGTTTGTTATTTTGCTCTGGTGAGTGAATGAATCTCGTGATTTCATAACTTGTTATGAATATTTAATGCAATTATTACTATCGATCCAAATAATATTATGATTCTTTCACTACTAAGATTCTTTTTGATAAGAAATTACTATTGTAAGTAACTATAATAATATGTAATAGTGTACAAGTATATAAGTTTTACTTTCATTTTTTTTTATACTTTATGTAGTACGACAGATGATATTTATGTTTACTTAAGGTCATTACACGTACAAAAATTTTAGTCAGTCAAATCATAAGGTCTCGAGCAACTTTACCAATCATAATCAAAATTGCGATCTCACGTTTAAAAATGCTTGACTGTGATTGACCGATTTACTTACAGCTTTACGATTACGACCAAAATTTTTGTACGTGTAAAGCCTATTCTACAATTACGTAAGCGTAGTTGTAAGTGATTGTAGTTGTAAGAATTGACCAATCACAGTTGAATATTCTTCTCATATTCGACAGTGATTGATCAATTCTTACAACTACAACTATTTACAACTATACTTACGCAATTGTAGAATGGGCTTAATGGCCTTTACTCTGAGTTCTCTGTACTTTAAATTGTAATAATGCTAATAGTGACATGGTAGTGTATAAAAAAATATACTAAATGTACCAGCGGTGAGCAAAAATGACTTGATTTAGATGTCGTGAGTAGAATTGCGAGTTTTTTTTGCGCTATACTTTCTTTTTAGTAATTGGTTAATCATTGAATTATAAATGAAAACTCAGTGCAAAGACAGTATAATCTCACCTGACTAGAGAACAGACATTCTTGCTCTCAGTTGTATCTTTGGTTGATTATATTTTTATTTGTTCTATTATTATTTTTGATAGTTCAGCGTACATAATGCTTTAATTAAATAAATCACCATTGTTGCTATCTAATTAAGTACAGTCTAAGTAATTCAGAAGTATTTTTGTAATAAGTAATAATTTACACATTTTTGTAATTTTTACATGATGACATAAGATATATAAATAAGCATAAAATTGCCAGAATATATTTTATATTAAAACATATATTAAAATACATTTCGTAAAAAAAGATCCGTGATTATCACTTACAACAAATATTCCGAGTATTTTCCGAGAAGGTTTTTATTAAATATTCTTTTTTTTTAGATGAAAGAAATATTAAAATTTATTTTAAAACTTACATCGAGCTATTTTCTTATTTAATCCTAAAACGCTATCGCTACTGAATAATACAATATTGCTATCGAAACGAAAATTTTACATACAAAGAAATAGGTCACTCTTAATTCATATAATATGTACGTGTACAAGTTCCTCATGCATTTCGAACTTTTAATGACAAAATATTGATAATTTAGACTTATAAACATAGAGAATCTAATTATTAATTTAAAAGAGAAGAAGAAATAAGTACACTATCATATACAATAAAATAACTTAAAATGATCTTAAAATGTGATCCTATTTTGGATGTGTTTCAAAGTTTACTGTTAGTATTGAAAATCTATAATTCATATTACGTGCACTATACATTTTTAGTACTGCCAGTAAATTTTGGAAAACAGAGCTTGCGCGCGCGTGCGCGTGCACGTGTGTGTGTATATGTGTCTTCTTACATAATACTTAAATAAAATATAACACAAATCTACCTTGAAAGTTAAAATAACTTGTGTTACTTCTTTGATTTTGTCTAAAAACTTTTGACCCTTGATTAAACCTTTAATTCTATGATATAGTAGAAGCTAAAATATCAAGATAGGTTCAATTATAATGACACAATTTACTCCTACTTTGACTATAATGATGTCGCAAATTTCCCTTTTCACTGCTTTTAGTGTTAAAATAGGTTGATTTGCAATAGGAGTTAGGATAGTAAAATAGGTTTGATCACAACCTCTATTGAAACTTCATCTGCTACTTGGAATATACACTACCGTTTATAAATTCGGAAACGCCTGCGATTTTCTCACATTTCACGAAAATTAAATTATCTCAGTGAAGAAAAATCGTAGCGAAGTTTTTAAAGATGCATTTCAAAGAGGAAAAATAGAGCTTTAAAATGGAGTTTGGATTTTGACTCTATGATATTTTCGAAATTACATAAAATTGAAATTAAAAAAATTTTTTTTCAATATTTTTGTTAATCTTTGAAGCCCTCTATATGGATGAAACATCATCACACAAAATTTAATAATCGAATATTTCGAGTAGACTGTCTAAGCTTTGAAATGCTTTCAGAAAAAAATTGCGATGATTCTTCACAAATTGACTTTTTTACTGTGTATAATTTTATTGTATAAAATCTTACTTTTTCTAAAATTCGAAGTTCTATATTCTTCTTTAAAATGTATTTTGAAAAATTTTTCAACGATTTTTTTTTCACCGAGATACTTAAGTTTTTGTGATGTGCAAGAAAATTGCAAACGTTTCCGAATATATAAACGATAGTGTACCTTCCATCCATAAAATTATTAATAAAAGTATAATACTCAGAAACAGACAGTTATAAATTATATTAAAACGTAAATTTATTAAAATTTATTAAAAATTGTTTACATTAGAGTACAATTATAATAATAACACTCATTAATATTAATAATTATGATACTCATTATTATAGATATATTTTCATCATTTTATTAGAGATAGATTATAGATATATTTTTATTTAATATTGTGTGATACTAATATTGAATTATAATAGATTATATAATTAGATAACATAATTGAATTATAATAGATTAAATAGATAGAATTATAATAGATAATATAGTTGAATTATAATAGATTATGTTAATAAAAATATTTACAAATTAGTCAATGTATATTGTTGAAGCGAATCTAAAAATAAAAATATTTTAGTTATAATTTTCTTTTAATTTTAATTTTTATTACATATCGTACCAAAAATTCGTAACGCTACTTCATTTGTATTATATCTATATATTTCTAAAAAAATTGGCAATTATACCGTTCAAGAGAACAAAGTTTTAAAAAAGCAAGATTTTAAAGTTTCGATAGAACAAATTTACAACTCAAAAGAAATAATGATGTTTCGAAAAAAGAGAATTTTAAGCTTATATAAACTAATTTTTGAAATTTAAATTTTATTTACTTTTAACCAAGTTATTACTGTTTGAATTTCGAATTTGCTATGAACTTTTATTACGATCCAATAATTTCTAATTTATTTTTGTTCAAAAAATTGTATTTTTTTTACCGCTTGCGTTCGTAGAGAGGATTGTTTCATTATTAGTGTTATTATTTTTTGGAGATTCGTAATTTTGAAAGTTATTAGCCATAGGTTCATTGTTTCTTAAGCTGTTAATATTTTGTGATACGTCTTGACGTGATACGTTTCCTGTTTTTCCTTTTAACTTTTTTATTTCTTTTCCTGATTTATTTGTCTTTCGATATTTTCTTTTGTTCGAAGCCATTTTATTAATAAAATCGATCAATTCTTTCTTTGTAACAGTATTATCTTGTATGTTTATCCATTCTAAGAAAGTTAAATATATTTTTTCCATTTTATCTGTTGAGTTGGTTAAAGAAGAAATTGAACAGTTTCTGTCTAATAAAGTCGAGGGATTTGACGGAAAATATGTTGATGTTGAAGAGCTTTGAGAAATTGCTGATGATATATTTTTATTATGACTATTTGAAGGACTTAGAGAAGAAATAGAATGGTTTTCACTCAGATTTTCACTTATATTCTGTTTTTTATTGTTTGTAGATAGAATTAATTGTTGAGAATTAGTTGTAAATGGTAATGAAGAAGAACACTGAGAAATTGCTGATGTCATATTTGCATTATTTGAAGGAGTTAAAGAAGAAATTAAATAGTTTCTGTCTAATAAAATCGAGGGATTTGACGGAAAATATGTTGATGTTGAAGAGCTTTGAGAAATTGCTGATGATATATTTTTATTATAATTATTTGAAGGACTTAGAGAAGGAATAGAATGGTTTTCATGTAATAAAACCGACGGATTTGAAGAAAAGTGTGTTGATGAGCATTGAGGAATGCTGATAATATATTTTCATTATCATTGGAAAAACTTGATAATGATGGTGTAATTTTGGTGTAATAAGTATCAGGTATACCAAATGTGTGACTCATTTGCATTTTTTCTTCCATTTGTTTTTTCGTGGACTTTCTTATATTTTCAGTTATTTTTCTTGATTCTTTTCCTTTATTGCAGTCATTTATTATATCAGCAGAAAAAATCTTTGTAGACGGATCATGGATGGCACCATTAGTTGATATGATTAATTATTATGCAATTTATTTTCATTTTCTGTAATAATAAAAATTAATAATGGTGAATAATATTTTTCGAAATACGGATAATCCCAGATAGCACACAATATTTATGATATTTATTACCATTCATTTTTTGAAATGTTATTTAAATATTTTATATAATATTTATGGTGAATATAAATAAATATTTCTAATAAGTATTTTTTACTTAAATAATGTCTTATTAAGTATTTTTTTTCATAGCATTTATTACAACGTTTACAATAAATATTTTATAGTATTTATAATAAATAATGTTTATAATCTGTGCAATCTAAGACTACAAAAATATTTACAAATATTTTGTAAATATTTTATAATTATTGTGTATTGCCTGGGATATAAGGAGTGTATATTTTTCACATTAAAATAGCGGTCTTAAAATATTGTATAAAATAGTTTGTACATTTTTAGTAAATAAATGGTTATATAAATATTATTTTTAGTACTAACATAATAATAACTTACCGTTTATAACAAGAATTTTCGCCATAGCCTTTGTTTCTTGCTGGGTTTTATAATCTTTCCATTTTTTAATTTTATTATTTCGCCTACATGTCTGCTTTTTTTTGGTATAACTGATAATTTTACTACGTCTTTTTCCTCACTTTGTAGCCACCAAA